AAAAATGAGGATTGAGATAGTATGCAGTTGCATGTAAGGATTTCCCACCTCTCATCAATTATGTTCAAAATTTGCTCATAGCTACAAACAAAATGATAAAAAGAAAAATTATGATATAAAATTGCATTTATAAATTTAAGTACTAGAATTAAATTTACTACTTACCTTCTTTTGACATTGTTAAAATTTAAAATTCTCTTTAATCTTCTGGCCTTGCACTTTCCATTTTTCATATATGAATCTCAAGTTGGCTTCTCATTTGAGTCCACCAAGTAAAGAACTTTAACAAGAGAAGTAGTAGCCTTAAGATACCCACAATATTCTTCCACAAACTATTATCTAGAGCACTTCTAGCTACTTTTTTTTCCTTTTTTGTGTGGATAAAAATTTGCTATCATTCCATTTCTTAGAACTAAATTTATCAATGCTACTTTATTTTCACTAAGACACAATATTGTAAAATATGCAATAGCAATTGAGTTGTAGCTAGTTTAATTAAGTCTTGACCATATGTGAATTTTCTTAAAATACTAATGAGCATTATTCTATTATAAATATATGTTTTAATTCTTCTACTCTTGTTTTATGGTTTCTTGATGCAATATAAGTTTTTTATCAAGGTCCTCTAACATCAGGTCGATACAATGAGCTGTACATGGTGTTCATACAAGTGTTTTCTCTTCTTTATCAATTTTTGTCCATCTACTTTGTAATCTGTAGCATTATTTGTTATTATTTGCACCACATTTTTCTCTCCTGCATTTTTTATAACTTCATTAAGCATATCAAAAACTCTCAATTGTCTTTGAAATATTAAAAAGTGTCCAACAAATATAAAAATATAGTCCCCTTAGGATTGTTACTTAGAAATTATAAATTGAACTCGTTTTTTATCAATCCACCCATCAAATATGATGGAACAACCTATTATTGCCCATTCACTCCTAAATTGATCCAAATAATCTGTGTTTTTTTCTTCTAAATTCAAGTACTTCTCTCTACTAATTTCATGATAAGAAGGAGGTATAAATCCAATGCTATATTTTCTTATAATCCCACACATCTTTATAAACTTTGGATTTTTCACACAATTAAAAAGAATGGCACTTGTGTAAAAAAATCAAGCTGTTTATTGACAAGCTCTTCCCTCAAGTCTTTCTTGAACATTTGATTAATAGTTGATTGAGTGTTACTCACATCCTTGCTATTACTTTTTGAACTTTTCAAGAAATTTATGATCCTTTTTCCTTTTTCTTGATATCCAACTCGTGCTTGTGTATTTTGATCTTTTTTCACCAACATCGACACATTGTTTTTTTTCTTTTAGATGTCGCACATTTAGCTTGTGTTAACATCATGCTAACATCATCAAAACACTGACACAAGGGTTCAACATCTTTTTACTATCAACTAAGTGGTGTTTAGTCTGTAAATACCTCTACTATTACCAGGATATTTTGTTTAGTAATAACTTTTTTGTTTACAGCTCCACTAGACGAGACTACATACTCAATTTATTATATTGATTACTAATCAAGCAGTCAACCAAAATTTTAAAAAACATATTAAACAAAATTAGATATATAAAATATAATATTTTATTTAACATATCATTTTTATATTTTATATATTAGAAAGCAACTCATTTTTGTAAAAGCTAAATAAAACTTAAAAAAGTTAAATTGAAGTTGAATTTGAATCTAAATATTCATTTGATCACTTTTGTAACCTTGACATGCAAGGCTATAGCAACAAAAGCTATTGTCCTTTTTCAAATATTTTAAAAACCTCAAATACAAAATGCTGGAGCATACCTTGAAAGGATCTTGGTATCATGTTGTTTGTTATCTTTTGTTAAGTCACTGTTGCACTTCTCTTTAATTAAAAGAAAACTCCTTCCTTCCACTCTCTCTTCTTTCTTCTTCCTCACCCTTCTCTTCTAGTTATTTTTTTGCCAATGAGTGAGTCAAGTCAAGCCAAGGCAAACTCTTAAGATTTGAATAATAGAAGATGAATCAAGAAGGCACAAAGAATGGAGAACAGCTGAATATGTTTTTCTAGGGCAAGTTATCTTTTGTATTTTGTTTTCATTTACTGTTTAGGCTCTTGGGCTACTTTTTGGTGTGTTAGATTTGATGTAGAGTCCAACTAGCCTGATTCAGCTTAAACTTAGCAAGTTTACTACTGTTTTATTATGACTTTAGCCGAGTAAGTTTAGAATTGAGTTTATAATTGAGTTACTCATTTTTCTAAGCTAAAACGTTAACTCGGTGAGTTTACCGAGTAGACTCAGTGAGTTCACAATCATACTCCTACCCATTTTTCAATGTTTGTCTTACTATTAACCCATTTATTCATCAACTTCACCCCTAATGCCATCACATATGCTAATTATAGGCAGAAAATGAAGCTCATCTATCTGGACATTTAAGCTTTCTAATGTTATTGTCTACCATCCCACTTTGACACCTAGATTTGAAATAAGCCATAACCTAAGTATGTATAGGATAACTTGCTAAATCTCTCAATAGCTTCCTTACTAAGACCTCCAATCAACTTCAAGTTGTCATAAAATTATTCTTCATATATACTCCCAACATATATGAAGAAATTTTTTCTTTAGTAAAGGTCCTCCCCACCTCTTGCCCCAATTAGCATATATATGTGTCTAGCATATAACCTATGTTTGGTTTAAGGAAGAACTTATATTACTACTATTGTAATCCTTACCAGAGAAGAAGCATTACAAATAGAATTTATAAATAAAAAAAATAACCATTAAGGAAAAGAACCATGAAGATAAATAATATCACCTTTTGCATGTCAGACATTATAATTAATTTTAAAACCATTTTCCAAGGTCTAGTGATTTATACAGCCATTGCAAAAACCATTTCCAGTTCACATATTCTCTTTTTTTTATGTTAACCCAATTGTGATATGATAGACTTATTTGCATCCACTCTTGCCATTGTAAGAAGTATGCCTTTTGCATTTCCCTTAAAAAATGTAACATTAAGGCTAAATAGCCCCAACAATCACTTTACATCCAACCTGTCCAACAATTACAGAAGTTAAATAATAGGAAATCATTAGAAATTAAGAACAAATTATGTGGAAAATTAAAAAATTACCTTAGATGCCTTCTAGCATATATATAATATATTGAAAAGCTCCTTGCCTTCTTATCTTCAACTCAATCTATCTTCATATTAGTCCTTGTTTTGAACATTTAAGTTCTTCATAGTAAGCTTCCAATTTCCTAAAACTCATCTTGATATCTACCTTCCAACTCCTCCATAATAATCCTTTTAGCCCTCCTGCACTTTTGTCTGCTAACATTAACCTTTGAATCATATTCCAATATCTTTTTCATGTCTACAACTTTGAATATATTTAGGGTATTTTTGTACTTTATCCTTGAACTAAGAAGCTATCCATCTAGCGAAAGCTCTAGAATTCTTAAAAACCTTAGACATCTATGTTCCATGCATAGGGTTCTAATTTATAGTCCTTGATGTTTCCCATTAGATATTGTGTACATAAGGAAAAGGCATCCTTCCTAACATTTAGTCCTAACTCTTTGGACTCAGACTTAATCATTCTTAAGTTAACCTCAATCCGTATGGCATTTGTATTTAATGCCTTCCTAAGCGCTATACTATTAGGCCAAGTCATACCACACATTAAATAAGTCCCTATCATCTTCTATTAGATCTCGAGCTTTTTCTAAAGGACAATCATTTATGGGTAGGTCTACATGTGGTTCTTCATCACCTACTTCCTTCTCACTTTCATATTCTTCTTTACTCACACACTTCATCTTCCCCTAATAGGTAGTAATAATAATACCATTGCTATCTTCACCACTGCCATGCTTAATTTTAGACTTAGAGTCATTACTACGTTCATCTACATCCTTCAAGGAATTTTGAATGCTAGAATCATAAAAGACTATATTTCCATCATTTCCCATCTACTATATCTCTTTCTAGACTTATACCACCTTTAATATCTTCTAATGATTTGTACAAGGAGTTTTTAGCATTAGCTATCTCTATCTCATCCACTACCTGATCAAGTTTCTCAAATTTTTCCCTCTTCACCCCTGTTCTCACTTCATTATTAGTTTCCTTAATGCCCAAAGTTTCTCCTACATTCCTAAACAATATATGATAATGTTTCATCTAAATATCCTTACCATTTCCCATCATAGAGCATACCTCAGATAGCAAAAACCCATTATCGCCACCATTATTATCAAAGCCACTATCACTATACTCAACGCTGTTCTTGGCTCCATCATCACTACTCTTCTCTTCCATGTTGTCATGGGACCCACCATTATCACTCTCACAGTTTGGCATAGCTGTATAAAATACAAAGAAGACAAGGGCATTGGAGTGATTTTACTATACAAGAATCGAATAAATTGCAAAACCCTAAATAATCTTTACCTCTACTTCAATCATTAGTTGTAATTAGAGATTGACTTTATGGTTTGCTTGGATTAAAGAGGAACAATTTGGATTTAGGGTTTAGAGAAAGATGAAAGCAAGATTTAGTCTAGAGAGAGAATGGCCATCTTATTTTTGCATGTAATTAGAAATAGAGAAAGTCAGAAAAATTATGAAATTACGAATCTACCTGATTGAAAACTTTGACCCGCACAACTTGCATGACACTTAGGCAAAATTTGGTCAAAAGAAGTTTCTCCCTCCAAAACTCACTGTCAACATCAGATGCAATTAATGGTAGGGGCTAGAATACCCTAAGTTTGATTGTTCATGGTTCAAAATGTAGTTTTTATGAGTATAAAGTTCAAACCACGCTGAATATATTGTTTAATGGCAAAATTCCCTATTAATCCTAAATAAAATAATATATGGATATAACATGATAAGATGTGAGTTTGAATACTCCAAAATTGAAATTTATGTGAAATTTGCCTTTTCAATTTTTTATTTTTATATAAAATAATAAAATGAAAAATAATACTAAGAAAAAACTTCACAAAAATTCAAAAAAGTTAACTTTAGAGGATTTAAATCTGCAAAATATAGTCATATTTCATATCATTGATATCTATACATACACACACATGATACGAAATTTATAAGGTGTTGTATTACTCTAAAATCATTATGATTTATCTCAATTTCATATAAAATACATACTCATAATTTAGATTTTTCTTTAAAAAAAGAAAGTCTATGTCATAAAAAAATAAAAACAGAGAAAATGGCTAAAAATTAGGACATGATACTTCTTCCAGACTTCAACATCCACAAATAATTTTTTTTTTGTTCCATGCAGCTTTTGAAATGTGATAAATGAATTGAGCCTTTACATTTATGTTACACACACATTGATATCAATACAAAACATATAAAATTTAAATTAAAATACTATTTATAAATCACAGATATTTTGTTTCATTCTAAATTATATTCAAGGCATGAAAAACATAAGCAATGAATAACTTACCAACTACAGTCAAATCTAACTTAGTCAAATATATGTGATCACATGCGGTGAAATAATACCATTCACCATCTTTTTAATAAAAAATACTACAACAATCACAATCGATTATAATTGCATATAATCATGTAAATGTAATGAAAACAAAATTTGATTGAGCCCCCCGTAACACTGAATAAATTTATTCTCACATGCTGGATGATTCCTTCCCCCGCCTTTTTTTTTTCTTTTTTTTTTGTTTTATTATTATTATTATTATTTTTTACCCTCGGCGACCGAAAACGATCAAATTCAATGATTCACTCAGGAGAGAATTTGGATCCTCGTATAAATATAACAATGGATGAAGAGAGAAGCTGACACGTGTTCGTCTTTTTTATAATTTTTCTTACAAAATTATATACAAATAATAATTAATTTCATGGTAAAAAATTAAAAATTTAGAAAATATCATTGAATGACCCTCAGAAAAAGCTAGTATGAGACAAGAATTTTAAACAAGTAAACATTAATAATTAATAAGTGAAATTTAAGTTTAAATAAGTATTCGATTCGTTTAAATCTTTATATGATATTAAACTAGTAAAGTACCCGTGAGATGCACGGGCTATATACAATAATTTTTTTAATAAGTGATATATCTATCATTTACGACAAACTAAAGTTTTTATAAATAAGTATTAGTCTTGTAGGAAGATTTTTCTTAAAAAAATAACTTGTAGCATATCATCTCTAATACTCCATATCATCATAAATATAGTGGGGCTATATATATCATTTTTAATGTTAAATATACATATTAGTATTAAGTCAATGTAAAAACTAAATGAATACAGTGTGAATGGATACAATAAGCATATTCATAAAAATTTATAATTAATTAGACCAAATTATCAAAAACTTCCCTATAAACAACATTAGAAGTTTTGTCTGTGGATTGACCATCCTCATTAAGAACCAATATTTTTAAACCTTTCCTACTTCGAACACGAGAAACAACAACATATAACTGGCCGTGTGTGAAAACAGGACGAGGCAAGTACAAACCGACATTACACAGGCTCTGGCCTTGGCTTTTATTAATGGTCATTGCAAAAGCTAGCATAATAGGAAACTGCCTCCTTTTCAAAGTAAATGGAAACCTAAAATCAGATGAACACATAGCAATACGAGGTATGCATACTTTCATCCCTGTAGTTGACTCAGACATTTCTTGGGCTTCAATAACATGTTTTCCAATTCTTGTAACTATGAGACGTGTACCATTGCACAACCCCATAGACTTATCAATGTTTCACATCAAAATAATTGAGGCACCGACTTTTAATCTTATTTCATGATTCGAGAGTCCTGACATCGTAATTGAATTTAGAAAATCTATAGAGTGCAAGTCATCAAGTGAATTTATGTCCCTATCATCTTTTACAATACTATCAGAACTCAAGTAGACAACTTCCTCTCCAGGGATCATAGATAACATGTACTTGTTTACTTCTTCAACCACAGCCAGTGTAGGGGCTAAGATAGCCCTATCTCTAAAATATGAAGAATTATTGACATTGTTAAGGAAATTCAAGAAAGTTGAATCAACAATAGAATTTATTATATTTTCTAAACCATCTAATAACAAATTAGCTAGGATCTTAATATCCACAGATCCTTCATTAACTCCAGCCACAGTCCCATCACCAATTGAAATAATTCAATCAGCAAAATTTTGAATATCACTGTTAGATGCCATATTATTTGTTGCCATAAGTCTCATGTTTCTTGTTAATGTAAGAAGTTGACAATTATCCCATATGTATGAAGAGTTAATGGTAGCAAAAACAATCTCTTCTCTGGATCCACCTGGAATAACAGGAAGGATCTGCCTGAAGTCTCCACCAAACATGACAACTTTTTCTCCAAATGGAAGATTGGCAGCTAATGGGTTACTAAACTTTAGAATATCTTTTAAGCATTTATCAAGAGCTTTAAAACAAAACTTGTGCGCCATTGGAGCCTTATCCCATATAATTAATGACGTGTGAACTAATAATTCAGCTAAGTTACTTCCTTGTTTTATGCTACATATAGTGTCTTCCGTCACAGAAAGTGGAATGCAAAATTGTGAGTGAGCTTATCGTCATCCTAGAAGCAATAAAGAAGCTATCCCACTTGATGCTACATTGAGAACAATTTTACCTCTAGATCTTAATGAAGCAGACAGTGTCTTCCAAACATACGTTTTCCCAATACCACCATATCTGTAGAGGAAAAAAACTCCTCCTTTGTTAGATGCAATAGCACTAATGATTTTATCATAAATTGTCTTTTACTCAAGTGTTAGTGTCTGCAGCAACTTTGCCAATTCAGTAGACAATGCAACCCTATCATAATTTAGTTCGTTTCTTATTAGCCTGTTCTCACTTACATCCAAGCTTGACATGTCAGGTAAAGGCATAGGCTCATAATCTGTGAGACTTTTTCCATTAGATTGAAGTATTTTCTCAATCTCAATCAATGTAAAGTTGCATAAATCAGCATCATCTAATTGTAATCCTGTGAAAATATTGTTATTACATCAGCAATATTATTTGATAATTTATATAAACTTTATTACTATTATTATATTGTAGAAAAAAAATTAAAGAATGTAAATGTAATTACTACATACCGTGGTGTCCAGTAATATTTCTTTACCTGTACACAATATCATCTGATAAGAAGACCCATGTACTATCCCATACAACCTCTGGTCGAGAGAAAGAGTTATAGATAAGAGCAATACAAAACAGCCTTCTTAAAAATTGTCCAGATGCCCATTGGCTTGCTTCTATAATGCCATCAATATATTTTTTATCATCATCTAATAATCCAAGTACATAACAGGCATCTCTAAAAGTAGGGTAGACGACTCCATCAATGGTACGTATACTCTCATATGAAGTATAGCCTTTGACGATGGTTAGCAGGGTACGCAAATAATATAATTCACTACTACCTAGAGGGGTATAGTATAATCTTTCAATTGAAAAACCCTGCTTCCTAGGCTGCTACTCACATAAATCTTTCTTATAAACAAATTTAGTTGGGAATTCAAGATATGTTAAGCCCTTAGCCTCATCATTATCCTCATCATCATTAGTATTAAACCATGCCTCAAGCATTGTAGTCTTTCTTGTATTGCGATTAACAGCTGAATCTAATGGTTCATCATCATCAAATATGACATTTTATTGGTTAGGCAAGTGGAAAGTTAACCTTTCAATAGATGGTTTTCTATAATTGATATCAAAAGCAAATATTCTCCATACAGATTTGCAAGGAGACAAATATCTACAATCATAATATAATTTAATCTCATCATGGATTCTCCTAATAGTTGGGTCACATGAATCAGTAAAAAATGCGGCTGTAACCCTATCATGCCCTTTTGTCACATACTTGAAAAGATATTTAATTGACTGAGCTTGATTGCATCTTTCAATATTTATATGAGCATTATACTTTAGCAACAAATATGGATTATATGGTATTATATACCTGTTGTCCAAATCAATGCCATTTCTTGTTATTATCCTCCCATTGTCTAGTCTCCTATATCGTGGGTAACCTTTTTCATCAATAACTGTGCTAGAGTTGAATGACTTAGGATAGTGTTTAGAGCATTTTCCATCAACCATACATGGTGAATTGGTATTTATCGATCCACAAGGACCATGCATCATAAAAGAACTGACTGCTTTAAACAGCTTTGGATTTTCATCCTTATTTGGTATCTCCGCTGAAATCACCTTATCAACATTCTGAGATGTTGGAAACTTATCCTTGTTGCACAACCAAACCAAAATATGTGAATGTGAGAGTCCACGCTTTTGAAATTCTATTGTATATATCACTGGAAAAGAAAGAGTAATTGTACTTAGAAATAATTTTTGTTATATTAAATGGAAAATAAAGATAATAAAAAATTGATATTACAATGTCAGTGAATAATAAATACTTGCTTTGACCTTTCCAAAAATTTCATTCTTACAAATGTCATTTATCATCATGCCTAACTTAACCTTAAAAATACGTGCTAATATATCAGGACGATCTTCTGCTTGAAGATTTGTGAAATCTAGGAATCGAGAAATCTTAAGCCATTTTGGATTGCATGTGAAAGTTATAAACAAATCTGGATATCCCGCCCACTTGCAAATCGCCATTGCATCTTGGTAATTTTGAATAGTATAGCGAATACCACCAGTAAATGACAGAAGGATGATTCTCTTACCCATTGAAGACGGAGTATTTTTACCCCTTAATACAGCATCTGCAAGACCTTAGTACAACTCTGATCTTAATTTCTTTTAATTGTGCCTTACAAATGATAATCTTTGTGACTCAACCATTGTATAACCATCAACTAAGAATTGTTGGAACAATTTCCCACCTCGTCCAATTAACGAATGATTAATATCACGATCTTGAATCATATATGCAAAGTATTCCTGCAGTGATACATAAGTAACTTTACCTCTCGGCTTTTCAACATTATGGGGAATATCCTCTCTATACCCATCATCACCATATGGAAATAATAAAGGATACTACATTGGTAAATAGAGGGGATGCTTTTCATAGATACGCTCTAGCAAGCCAGTCTTATGTTGTACAATCATGTCTCGACTAGCTTTGGTATAATCAATATCACCAACAATCAATGCTGTAACTTCGTTTGATGTGGTTGGAAGGTTGTATCTCCTACCATCTGTATGACATTTATATATCAATCGGATCTTAACCTCTTGTGAATCATTTGCACCTATCATATCTCTTGCCTTCCTGTATGTTTGCACAAGAATGTTGCATGAATCCAACGTTCTCCTTAATTCCTCAATAATATCATGGCAGCATAGGTCTGTCTCATTACTTCCATTGCAAGTCATATAAAGAACTGGTTAGTTAACTTTAAACATTCACATGGTTAAACCTAAAGACCATTGACAAAAATCTATGATTATCAAACTCACCAAACAACCCTCATCCTATTTGAAATCTCATTGTTTGTGTCATAAATGTAAAGTTGAGCGAATCTGGGAGGTGCCCCATCTATTGGGAGGATACTTCCAATAAGGTGAACATTTTGGCTACTCATTCTATATACGTATGGATCATGACCATTATTTATCTGTCTATCTATTTTACCCCCCATTGATGTGAATGCAAACATTATGTTATACATCCTAATATTACTGTGAAAAATTTTTACTCCGACGGTCCCCATTATTAAATAGTTCATATAATGATTCAGGTGGCATCTTAGGTTGAGGTAGCTCAATCTTTCCTTGGAGACAACACATGCCAAATGACGGGCAAGATTTGTTGGCATCCTTCTTTAACCTCTCATCAGACCAAAACTTCACGTGGCAATATTGACATGTTTGAACTTGATCTCCATTACCATAGTAATCTATACATTATAAAAATAATATCATAGAGGTGGGCCAATATTGGTACTTATGCTAAAACAAAAATAAAATATTTAAAATAAACTTACCTTGCTCTGACATTGAGATATATGCAGGATAATTAGCTGAAACAACACACCCATTACTTTGATTATCTACAGAAGAACTTGATTGACAACATCCTGAGCATCCAACATAGCCAAATTAACAACTAAAACCATTTTGAAGGAAAGAATTGTAGTGCATTTCAAATATATATACTTTTTGTCCTTTTTGACCTAGCTAGTTGTTGTTGTATTGAATGTTGAGTTGAAGGAACACCTGAGATATTTAATTTATCATTAATACAACAAAGCATATTCAACGACGAACTTAATATGCCAACTGAAGGGTTGATTCAATATTTTTTATATAAATAAAAAAATGAGTGATCACTGACCATTAGAAATATCTGACAGTGGAGAATGTATCAGCACATCCAAAGGCAAGCCTTGACGGTCATAGTTATTTTCCCCTGCACTTAAATGTGCTGCTCCTAAGGAATTATAAGGAACAATCAATCTAGACTTTCAAGATGAACATACACATTACTACTAAAAAAATTACAAATCTAAATGCATGCCATACTCTTCCTATTAATGATATCCATACGGTGACGCCGTACGTTAAGTTAGGCTACGCTATTGCTTGTTTACAACAATTGCGAATCATTTTCACTATCAGTCAAACTCCTATGCCCTGAGAAATGCATAATCATACTCACTCTATAAGTTAAAGTTGCAAGTTAATACTTTACATACAATGACTACATTTAAAAGGGTCACATGTACTTTTTTCC